GCCCAAGAATTTCCTGATTGTTTTCCATCCACATGATAAACAAGTCCAACTGTCCTTAGCTTTTTGACAGCAGCCAAGGTCAACCAGCTGCTGGTAGTTTCCAGTGAATTCAGTGGGACTTTTCTATATATGGTCAAATCTAGATCCAACCAGTTTGGAATATATTTGAAAGGACAAATGTGTAATATATTTATTTATTTAAATGTGTGTACGTGGGGAGAAATTTATCGGTATAAATATTTGTCTAACCATTTGCAGAATCAGGATCTTATGTTCAAATCAGACTTGCAAATTAGGCAAAAAATATTTTCTGTGAATGTTAATAGCGGTTTCAAAACTATCTGGCAATCAAGGATATTTTTTATTTATATCAATTGAACTTTAACTTCTCACTAACTCCTCTGTAAATTCCATTTTCTTGAAATTGCCCCAACTTCCTATCTCCCCAGGATTTTATTTTTCTCTGTTAAAACTCAAAGGTTTAGAGTTGGAGTAGGACAGCATTTATGCGAGGGAGGGGAATGATATTGTTTTAACTGGGGAATAGAAGATTTCCAATATTGAAGGTAAACATTCTGAACTAGTAGAAAAAGAGCAAAAATATGATGTTTCAAAAGTACAGGTAGTCCTAAACTTACGACCACAAACTGAGCCCAAAACTTATGTTGTTAAGTGAGAAATTTGTTAAGTGACTTTGCTCCATTTTATGACTTTTCTCGTCACATTTGTAAGTGAATCACTGCAGTTCTTAAATTAATAACGTGGTTGTTAAGTGAATCTGGCTTCCCCATTGACTTTGCTTGTCAGAAGTTTGCAAAAGGGGATCCCATGACTCCGGGACACTGCAACCGTCATAAATGTGAGTCAGCTGACATGCATCCGAATGTATATCACATGACCATAGGGATGCTGCAATGGTCATAAGTGTGAAAAATGGTCCTAAGTCACTTTTTTTCAGTGCCGTTGTAACTTTGGTCACTAAATAAACTGTTCTAATTCACGGACTACCTGTGGTAAGGTCTTGGTAAAATTAGATTTCCCAAGTTAGGTTTCCCAAGCAAAAACTATACACAAAAAAAGAATACAAGTAGTCTTCAATTTATGACCACAATTGGGGCAAGAACATCTGTGACTAAGAGATGTTTTTATAAAGTGAGTTGCACCTGATGTTATGATCTTTTCTGCCACAGTCGTTAAGCGAATCATGTAGTTGTTAAGTGAATCCAGCTTCCCCCATTGGCTTTGCTTGTTGGAAGCCATCTGGGAAAGTTACAAATGACAATTACATGACTCTGGAACGCTACAACTGTTGTAAATACATTTTGGTTGCCAAGTGCCTGAAGGTTAATCACGAGACTGTGGGGATTCTGTGATGGTTGTAATAGCAAGAACTGGACATAAATTCCTTTTTTTAGTGCCACTGAAATTTCAAATGGTCAGAACTCAAGGATAACAGCGAAACATCGTACTATAAAATCTGGACAATATTCTACGAATGGTTAGATAAAAGGAGGATAACCGAGACAAATGTGTAGTGTTAGACTAGAAATATATACGTTATTATAGATAAATGTGTATGTGAATTGTATGGATAGGTACATGTATATATAGATATGTATAATTGTATAGAAATAAGGTATAAATTATTGTTATTATATTATGTTTAAATAACGTATGAGGTTTAAGGAATATATTAATATATTATCATTAGTATATTACGTATTAGTTTAAAGTGTTGGAAGATGTTTGGGACCAGTGACGCCATATCTTTGTCCAATGTTTTTAATTTTGAATTATTAATAAAAAAACTTTTTTTAAAAAAAAATTCAAATGGTCATTAAAACAAATGGTTGTAAGTCGAAGACACCCTATGTATAAATTGAATCAATCAATAAAAAAATTAAAATGTTTTGAAAGTTGCCCTTCTTTCAAAAACGGCTGTGAAAGATGAGAAGCGTAGACGAAGCAATCAAATAGAATATCAGCATATGAATTACAAGCATAGCCAGTTTGGTCTATTAGTTAAGATAGCAGGGTAGAAAGCAGAAGAGTTCATGTCCCACTGTTGTGGCCTGTCGGCCACCAGCCCCTCCAGCAGCAGAATCAGAGGAGGTGGCGGTGTGGGAGTCAGGGTCAGCAGCAAGGCAACCTGAGACCTCCGAGGGGGGAGCCTGGGACATCCGTCAGCCCTCAGATGGAGAGACAACAGCCCCCAGGTCTGGAAGTGGCTGATGAGGAAGAGGAGGAACAGCTGGGTACAGTGTCTAGCATGCATATGCACAGAAGGCAGAGGAGAGGAGAGCAGTGGAAATCCGTGGGCTGATCCTTGGGAAGGAAGAGCCACCACTGCTAGCGAAGCTCCACCCTAGCTCTGGGGATAAAAGGCAGAGGGTGGAGATGAATAGATGTAGCAGACAACTATTCATCTTCCGGCTGGACACACTTGTTAGCCTGCGGTGAGAGAGAAACTTTTTGCCAGAGCTGCCGGCGCTTTGAGTTCATTTCAGAGGGTTTTTCGTGTTTGGGGAGCTGGGACAGAACACCCACTTTATCTGTGAAAGCCAGCTAAGTGACTTTGGGCCAGTCATTCTCACTCTCTAAGCCCAATTCAGCTCCCAGAACTGTTGTTGTGGGGAAGCCCGGTTCCCTTCTCCCCCTTTGCCAGCTGGGCAGTCAAGCTACAAAGATTCTGGATTGCTGCTTTACACAGGAAGATCTTCTTTCTAGAATGCGTAAATGCAGAGGTGAACATTTAGCTTCATACAATATGCTAAGTAGGGCTACCAGATCTGGATTTAGGAATCCAGACACCACTGAGATGGCAGCAAAATTATGTAGGAAATGTTTGTTACTGCTTTTCTGGTGGTCGCCCATAGTTTTACAAGCCAGTTCTGGTATGCCTAGCTAAGCCATACATCATGTCAACTACTTCCAAGTGTGATTTTTTTCAATACTAAATTAAGATTAATTATTTTCAAACCCACTCAAAAACTAATTTAGCCTAATAAATGTATTGAATCCCCACAATGATTCTTGCCTTTTTTTTCTTTTCTTTTCTTTTCAAAAGGGAGAGCAGAAAACAAAACAAAACGAAGAGGAGACATCTGTGCCATTATAAAAGCTAGCAAAATTATGACATATAATTTTTTAAAAGTTCACTCGTAACCCAGTTTATTTAATATCTACATTAAACTGTTGAGATATATCATCAGGGGAATTGTGGGGGGGGGAGGTCTTGTCACAGTATGAAATACAGCAATATTTCTTGTCCATCTGTTTCCAAAGCAATAATAATGATCTGAAACAGTAATAAGTTGGATAAGGAATATAGTGCTAGTCATTCTATCAAGGGAATATGCGTTAGTAAGGTTGATAGACTCAGGTGATTTTTATCGGTTCTGGATTTAGTTCTTAAACTAGACATGTTTCTGGATTAAATTTTATACCCAATTTAATATCAGCTCAGGTAGATGCAAATTGTTTTATTCATACTGATGCACTGTTGGAAGAAATTTCCTGTTTTTTCCCAGCTGGGACACACCACAGACGCCGAGAAGAAATGGATGCAGAAGCCAGCTTTCAGAAAGTGGAATTCTTTTAATGTAGGAAGGCAAGAAGCAAGAAGTGACACAGCTGGAGCATTCCAGGTTTGCAAGCAGCTTGGGAGTGTGAATCTGAGCCTTTTATGCTTAATTCCCCTTTGAAAGTCCTGCAGCTTGATGGGTTTTGATGTGTTTCTGATTGCCCTGGGTTTTGTTTTCCTGGGTAAATCTTGGTCCCTAGTCTTTTGTTTATCCTGTCCTTGGAGTTTAATCCTGTCAGGGGCAAAAAAAAAGGGAGTTTGGTTTACATTTTTAGCCCAATTCCCCTTATTTTAATGGCTCTACTTAAGTGTTTCTGTTACTTTTGTAACAGCCATTAGTAGGCTGCTCTGAGTTTTCCTTTCAGCTGGTGCTTCTTGGTTTTCTTAAAGGGGAAGGGCTGGCTTGAGTCTCTTGGCACTGTTTTCTGAGGTTTCTGGTGCTGTGAGGTTTCTGGCACTATCCTGTTGGGGTGTACTTCCCACAGCACCACTCACCTTTTGTAATGATGCACTGTTGAAGTCATTTTTGGCTATAGTGACAAGTCCCTTTGTTATACATAGATTGAGAGATAAAAGGCTACTTTTGAAGTGTCTTCAAAAACTATGTCCAGGATGCCGGAGCAATATATATATATTGATTAATAAAGTAGTAATATAGTAGTAATATAATAGTAATATATATATACATTTATATATTATATTATATATAATACATAATATATAATTACATTTTATATAAATATAAGAGCTGAATTCTGAAAAGACTGCCCGTAACAAGGATTCCAGGCATAATTAAATATCTTGAGGATAGCTTTTAAAGATCTCAAAGGCTTTGATCAAAGGTATCTTCAGACAATATGAAGATTTTTTTTTGTAACTGTCTTTTAGACTTGTTTCTGTTCTCTTTGTTGTCTTGGCTTCAGATGTTATATTGGTAGTGCTTGTTCCTAGTCATCTGTGGTATACCATATAATCATGGAGTCAAGAGTAGGATATTCTTTCTGATTTTTAAATATACCTAAGATAGTATAAATAGGGGCATCTTTAGCTGCCACATGACAAAGTTTCTGAACAGCAAATCAACTTGTGTTTAGCACTTAGAACCATTTTCACAGATCCAATCTGTTTATACAGTATTTTATACCACCAACTCTAGTCTCAGGACAGTTGTCTTATTATTTTGACTTTTTTTTTTAGAAGCACTTTTAAAATTTTCTGTTATATTGCAAGTGTGGTTGATTTGTCAGTTTTATATGAAGACTTTTTCACTGTTTTCCCACAAACTGCTGTGGGGTCCTTTGTGAGAGAGAAAGAGAGGGCAGGCGATGTAGGCCTAGAAGGATGATGGTAATGATGAGGGGGAGGAATAATTTGTGAAAACAGCCCTGGTGATAGGGATTTTTGCCGCAAGCAACAGACGAGCGCAGTTCCTTTCCTGAAAGCCTCGAATCGATCAGCCTTTTATGTAATCTGTTTTTAGTCCGCTGGCAGGCTTCCCTGGACGGATTACATCGAAGCCCAAGGGCCCGCTCTGCACCTAATTCCCGTGTCGAAGTGCAGCGTTTTTCCCCACCCGCGACGCATCCCCACGACCGGCACTCCAGGTGAGTCTTCTCCATCCCGAGCCGCGCCCGCCAAAAAAAAAAAAAACACAGAACTCCAGCCACGACGCGCATGCGCCCAGGCTCAGCTGGCGCGTGCGCCCCCCCCCTTCCCTCCCTCCTCAGGCCTGTTCATCTCTTCGGTTCTTCTACAAGCCGGCCGGAACGGCCCGCGCCCCAGTTATTCCGCGCATGCGTCTTGGCTGTTCCGAGCTGCGCTCGTTTAAAAAAAAAAAAAATTGTTGTGGGAGTTTAAAGGCGAAGAATCGAGCCGAGGGGAGGCGGAGGAGGTGAGTCAAAAGAAAGTGGGGACTGGCAGGGGAAAGTTAGAGCGTACCAAGTGGGGGAAGCAGAGGGGGGGGGCGCTCTTCACCTTTCCCCCCCTTTTTGTCCCAGAACTTTTTGGAGTTTGAACTTCGGTATGGGATGGAGAAGGGAGTCCGGGCGAGGAGGGCGTCAAAGGACTTGCTTGGCCTTCTCTCCCCTTAAAAACCATTTTTGCCGTCTTCCACCCCACCCGCTTGAGCGCCCCCCTCTCACCGTTAGGCTGCGCTTCCTCCCGCCATTTTGTGCCTGAAGGGGAGAAGCCCGCGGGGGGTGAGGGGGGGGCGACGGTGTCGTGTCCCCCCACCTCACCGCCTCAGGGCAGAGACAAGCCCGGTGGGGAAGGAGAAGAGGGAGGTTTTCCCTTCTGGCCGCTCGGCGGGGGCTCTTTTGACGCTTCCCCAGTGGCCGGTTCGCGACCCTTTTGGGGGCTAATATCGGCTGGGGAGTTTAGTTGGAGGAGCGTGGCAATTTCTCTCAGGACGAGCTGCTTTCCCGCCGTCCCGTCCCCGTCCCCCCCACCCCACCCCAATGGCTATTATGACACAAACCAAACAAAGGTCAAGTAGAGGAAGCAGCCTCGCTCAACTGATGCTCTTTTTTCCCCCTCAGCCTGGTTTGGGGTGTGGGGTAGGTGGTGTTAGGTGACAGCCCCGTCCGTCCCCAGCCTGAGGCCTTCCTGAACTGGATGGGCCCTCTGGGTTGGACGGGATTGGGCTACCAGCCTCCCATCTTCATCGGAACGACTTGCTCCCTCCCCCCCCCCCCCCCAGTTGTGGGTGCTCTTCTTAAAAACACTGGGAGGTTTTTTAAAGAAGAGATTTTGTCTGAAATGGCCTAGGGCAGTGGTTCTCAACTTTGGTAGCTTGAAGATGGGTGGACTTCAACTCCCAGAATCCCCCAGCCAGCAGTGCTGGCTGGGGGATTCTGGGAGTTGAAATCCACCCATCTTCAAGCTTCCAAGGTTGAGAAACACTGGCCTAGGGCAGTGGTTCTCAACCTGTGGGTCGGGACCCCTTTGGGGGTCGAACAACCCTTTCACAGGGGTCGCCTAAGACCATCGGAAAACACATATTTTCAATGGTTTTAGGAATAATTTTATGGTTGGGGGTCACCACAACATGAGGAACTGTATTAAAGGGTCGCGGCATTAGGAAGGTTGAGACCCACTGGCCTAGGGGGTTTCCTGCTCGAAAGCCAAGGGGGTTGGACTAGAAGACCTCCAAGGTCCCTTCCAACTCTGTAAGCCTGTAGAGATTCTCAGTCATCCAGGAGAGCGGTCATCAACTGGTAGTCAATGGACCACTTGGTGGTCTGCAGAAAAATTATTTGCATTTTTTAAATTTTGCACTAAATACAATCTTTTTTTTTTTAAATCATATTTGTAGTTCCGGGATTTAAAATTATGAATGTAGTGGTCTCTGAGGTCCGAAAGGTTGGTGACCCGTGATCCAGGACATGGTTGTCCCAAAGGTGCTTTTTCAGGAGGCAACTGGACTTTTTTGTTTTTTCTTTACTTTTCTTTCTTTTTTTGAAGAAGTTGTGCTTCTCATCCAAGAAGCTTCTTCAGCGCTGACGCTGCCCCCCCCCCTCCTGTCAGAGCTGAAGAAGAAAATAGTGTAGGGTCTGCTTGGGGAGGATGGGGGAATTGGACTAGATGACCTACAAGGTTCCTTCCAAGTCTGTTAATCTGTATCTATCTAAGCTTTTTGGATGAGAAACAAAACCTCTTCAAAAAAAAAAGAAAAGAAAAAAACAAAGTCCAGTTGTCTCCTGAAAAAGCACCTTTGGGATTCCAACTCTGTTGTTCTGTTATTTCCCTAACCATTGCACAGTTATTTGGAAAGGGTGTGCGTGCACTCGCATATGAGGTGTGAAAGTTGGGGGGGGGGCATCATGTTTGTGAGGATGGTTTTTGCTCTTTTTGGTTGATAGGTGTTGGGCTTTACCCTGTATCTGGTCATTGAGCAAAACTAACTTTTTAAAAAAATCTGAGATAAGGCATCAGGAGCTGGGCTATAAAAATGGGGTCAACCAACAGGTGGCAGAAAAATGGGGAAATCGTATCTCTTGGCTGCCATCCAGTGATTGCTTGGAGTTCTGCAGCCCAGGATCCGTGGTTTGAGATTCTTGGAGACATGTCCCTGGATTTTAATTCTGAATAGAGAGGCGTAACATTTTCTTGTTCCGTTCATAGAAAAGATGGCATGGATTAGCGCTTGCTTCTTCAAGCATTCCACTCACATTTGATCTGTCTCCTTGTTGGCATACTAAAAAATTCACAGAAAGGGACAGATGGGTTATGAAATGTTTTATGGATATCTGTGTCTCTGTAATAAAGAACTCTCATAAACTATATTTCATGGCCTAATGACCTCACCGTTTATAATTTTGTGTCTATATAATTGTCTTATAATCATCTATTCCGACAGGCATCAGCTGTTCAGAGTTTCATCAAAATACTTTTCTTAAAACTTTTAGTAGGATGCCTGGAATTAAATTTTTGCATTTTTTTTATTGTCCCCTTCCTTGATGATAGTCAGAACTAACTGAACTCATTCCCATTTGCTATAGCCAGGATTACTGATGTGAAATATACAAACTAATAGTACCTGGAAGGTAGATTGTGTATTTCTGTATCATAAACCACAAAAATAAACAGCAGAACTTTGTGTCCAAAATTAAAATGAGTATAAATTAAGTTTTACTTCTTGCATCTGCAGAATGTTCTTTACATGCGAGTGTGTTTTTGAACATCAAAAATATATGCAACTGATTTTGAAAAGTGACACCATTGTGATTTTTTGTGGGGCTCTTCTTGCCTCCCTTCTGCCTTTGAAAAAGGAATTCTAGTAATAATATTCAGTAAATTGTTTGGGGCTTCCTATGTGCTTTTGTACACATAGAGCAATATTTGATACATTTAATGAAATAAGGTATGTAAAAGTTTAAATCTTAATAAACTTTTTACCTTTACCTTTACCTTTTACCTTTAATGTGTCAAGACTCGCATTAACATCTGTATGCACACATACATGTGCCTATACATATATATGTATGTATTAATCTTATATAAATGAGATATTTGAGATGAATATATTCTTTATTTAATTGCTTAACAAAACTGTTATTTTAATTGAAATTGCTCTTTCAATGAAACTGTTCTAGCCTGGTATTAACTAACATACATCCAGATGAAAAACATCTTTAAATGTAGTTTTATTACTGTGTTCTTTGAGTAATAAATAAGGGGAATTGTTAATGCTGGCCACAGTAATTGTCTGTGTGACATTTTCAGCAGAAATAATTGTATATCTTTAAAGACATTTTTCTTTGCTGGAATTTCGGTCTTGAAATTATTCCCAGCCTTTAGTGTAGAGTAATAGTAATAATGCATAGAAAAAGCCATGTCTTCAGGCCTTTCTGCGCTGTCCTGAGACATGGCTTTTTCAGCAAATTCCCTGACCGACTATGAGGCTTTTAACTTTGGGGATTTTAAATTTGGATTGGTTTTTAGTATTTTATTGTTGTGGTTTTTATTGTGTGAGCCGCCCCGAGTCCTACGGGAGAAGGGCAGCATATAAATTTTAATAATAAATAAATAAAATTGAACTTATGGCTTGCATTTCTAACATAAGATTTGTCTAACCTTGTGTCAGGATCTCCAGGTTGCTAATACTGTAAGTAAAAGCTGTAGGAATATACAATAAAATGATAGAAATTGGTACAGAATACAGTACTAGATATCTTTACAGAGGGAAGAGGTGGTTCACTTGTCATATTTTTCCCTTTCTCAATCTTTTTCAAACTTGTTTATTAAGACTTTAAATACCAAAAATTGTTTCTAATTATACGACTAGGTAATTAATTCAATGTGAGGCTTGCAGGTCAGTGATACTCATCAATATGGGGGAGTTAGTTTACTCATGGAAATCAGAGTGTTTATCTCTTGATTGTAAAAGGCCTGTGTCAGGTTTTGACATAACTAAACTGAATAGTACTTCACTATGCAAATGTTCCACACTAAAATTAGTTTCTTGGGAAATGTGTTTAATGGTGCCAAAACAGATTCCTGAATTTGAAGCTATATGGAATTTCAGTGTAAAATAGGTGATGAAGATTTCTTCTCATTTGCTCTGATTAGCATAAACCTCTATCACTTTATGAATGAAATTATAGTTCATTGCAACAACAATCAGTAGCATTAATTTTAATGAAATGAATAGCAGAGCATTATAGTATGTAAATATCTTTCTCCCTTAAATGTGTTGCTTTTAGCATATTACATTACATTACCATTACTCTAATTTTTGGATATTTTACTGATTTCTTGATGTGGAAATAATTTAAACCCCACAGTTGGAAATTAGGCTGATAGCTTAATAGTTTCAATTAGGGTTTTTTTTAAAAAAGGGCTCACCATATACTGTAGCGAGCAACCTTAGATTAAAAATTATATTGGGTAAGGTAGAATCATGAGCTACTCTAGTAAAGGCTCAGATAGCATATCTGAGACCAAATCTGATTCAGTTTGCAAGCTGTTCCCAATGTCTGTTTTGAAACTTCGGATACTTTTCCAAATAGAGCTATGAAATCCTTGAATTTAAAATACACGAACGTATTAAGACCCCCTTCACTTTTATCAATTTTGTTATGCTACAGCCAGATTCTACAGTTGT